GTAAATCTTTTCAAGAGGGCATTAGCTGGTTGTATGCATATAAATAATATAATAAGGCAGGAGATTAGCTCTGGGTAATGATGCTCGTTTGATGAGCTAGTGCTAGCACAATGGTTTGAATGGTCTCCTTCTGCGCTGTAACACTTCTGTGATAACAGTGAAAGTGAAATAGAAAGTTACAACATTAGAATCATATAACAAAGAGGCCATTCGGCCCATCAAGTCTATACCACCAAAAATTATATTACTACCTATGCAAGTCCCACTTTCCCACACCAGGCCCATAGCCTTGAATTTTTAAAGTTTGTGATGTTTCCCATCACAGGTTATGCTACAAGAGTTAAATAAAGGGAGGTGCAAGCACGGACATTAACTAGTTGGATCGAATCAATGTAAATCTCTGAAATAGATCAGAGAGGAAATTAAAAATAGACAGAAGTTAGAGCCTATTTGAAAGCGGTTACACACACAATGAGATCTCAAGGAATTGTGATACGGTCCCAGCATAGTGAGATGTCCATGTGTTGAAGAAGCAGGGAGAGCTGACTGTATATGTGCAATGGGTGGTGAAGAAGGCTGAGCACCTGGGGAAAGTGATTTATAAAGATTGTTTTTCTCTCTCAGGGAGGGTCAGGAGGCTTTGGAACTCCTTTCCTCCAAAAGTGATAGAAGCAAAGTCCTTGAACATGCTTAAGGCAGAGCTAGATAGATTCGTGATAAGCAAGGGATGGGGGCTGGTGGTGGTGAAAGGTTATCAGGGCACAGGGAGCAATGTGGAGTAGTGCTATCAGCTATGGTCTTATTGAATGGGACAGTGGTCTCAAAGGCCAAATGACTTACTCCATTCCTAACACATACATATGTATGTACTGGATCCTGGGCTATATGACTGGAAGATTAGAGTACAAAACCAAGGAGCTTACAATGGGACATTTATAAAATACTATTTTGACCTCAACTGGCATGTAAAGTCCAATTCTGTGCACTTTGGGAAGGATTTGAATGGGTTGGAGTGGATGAAAATTTCTGACAATGTGTATAGGAAGGCGTTATGAGGATAGATTGGAGAAGCTAGGCTTCTTCTTTGAGAAGGTTGAGAGGACATTTTAACAGAAGTTTCAAAATCATGAGAAGTCTGCATTGGTAAGACAGGGAGGAAATGTCCACATTTACAAAAAAGTTGAGAACTGAAGGGCAAAGAGTTAAAGCAGGTTGGCAAAAGAAATAAACAACCACAAGAAAAGACAAACTATTTTATGCAGATTTGGATGAGGGTTTGGAAGGTGCCATTGAAGGAGCAATGTTGGCAAGTTGTTGCTGTGCATCATGTAGATGGTAAACACTGCTGCTGAGCGTCAGTGGTAGAGGGAGTGCATGTTGGAGGATGCCAATCGCATTTGCATTAATGTCAACACTGGTATTTATAGGGGTGGTCAAGTTCAGTTTCTAGCCAATATTGTTGCCAGCCCTAAATGCCCTTGATGAGAAGGTGGTTAGGCCAAAATTTTGAATGATTTCAAGAAGGAGTTGGGTATAGCACTTGGGACTAAATGGATAAGTGGAAAAACAGGAACAGGCTACTGAGTTGCCATGATCATAATAAATGGAGCAGGTTCAAAAAGCCAAATGATCTACCCCTGCTCCTATTTTCCATGTATAATAAAATCAGGCTGCTTTGTCCTAAATGGTGTCAAGCTTCTTGAGTGTTATTGGAGCTGCATCCATGCAGGGCAAGTGGGGAGTATTCCATCACACTCCTGACTTGTGCCTTGTAGATGGTGGGCAGGTTTTGAGGAGTCAGGAAGTGAGTTATATGCTGCAGGATTCCAAACCTCTGGTAACACCATTAATTATAGGGCTGATCCAGTTCAGTTTCTAATATTGGTGTCAGTGCCAGCATTTATTGTCCATCCCTAAACACTTTGATGAGGAAGTGGCAAGTGGTTTCAAAACGAAGTTCAGGGCCAACCATGTTGCTGTGAGTGTTTGGAGACAGACCGGGTCAGGAGAGCAGGTTTCCTTCCCTGTAGGACATTTAAGGAAAGCACAGCTGTTTATACCCCATAGGGATCATTCGCTGTTTAGCTAAAAACACAGCACCGAGGACTACCAGCTGACACCCCCACTACTCACTCTACATCAGTAAGTTGTGTCTGACTGAGATAAGGAGGAATTTCTTCACACAGAGGCTGAATCTGGAGTTCTCTAAGCCAAACATCCAGCCACTGAGAATTTTGTTAAGGTCTTAGCAAAAATTTGTAGCTTGGGTTGTGGATGGAGTTGTTCGTTAGCTCACTGGGCCAGTTGCTCTGTGGCATGAAGATGTCTCGTTATCCTCCTAGGCAACATCATCAGTGCGACCTCAAATCGAAGCATTGGTGTTCTGCTTCCTTCTGAACTTATATGATCCTCTGGTGTGATGGATCTTGTCACTTCCGGTTCTGTTTTTTTTAGCAGCGGTCTGTATATGGGGTCTATCCCTATGAGTTTGTTAATGGAGTCCTGTGTTGAGAACCAGGCTTCCAGAAATTCCCTTCCGTGTCTGTTGTTCGCTTGTCCCAGCATGGTCACTTTGGCCCAGTCGAAGTGATGGCCCTCATTGTCTGTGTGTATCGAGACAAGTCAATATCGGTTGTGTCTTTTTACTGCCAGCTGGTGTTCGTGTATCCTAGTCATCAGTTTCTTCCCCGTTTGTCCAATGTCATGTTCACTGCACTCGTTGAAAGGGATTCTGTATATCACCCATCGCAAGTCTCATTGCAGAAGCAATGACGCAGAGACTGGAACACAGGGGCGGGAGTAGGTGAGCAGCCGGAGCTGGGGGGGGCTGCGGGTCACCTTCACTTTGCTCTGCTGCTTGGAAGGATGAAGACAACGAGGAGGATGAGGATGATGAAGAGGAGGACCCATCACACCAGAGGATCATATAAATTCGGAATGCTTTGATTAGAGGTTGCACTGATGATGTTGCCTAGGAGGGTAACGAGACGTCTGCACACCACAGAGCAACCAGCTCAGTGAGCTAATGAACAACTACAGCCACTGAGTATGTTCAAGACACAAGCAGATTTCTGATGTTAAGAATATCATGGGACATGGGGGCAGTGCAGGAAAATGACATCAAGATAGAAGATTAGCCATGATGATATTGAACGGCAGAATGAACTCGATGGGCTGAATGGCCTCTTCCTACTACTTTTTTCTAATTTTGAGTCTCTTGGTGGGATGGTGGGAGAGAACTGTGTACCATCACTGATGGGAGGCAAGGAGAGATGATCACGCAATTGAAAAAGCAAAGAGATTACTGATCTAATGGACATAAACAGACACAGTTATATATCAGAGACAAAAAAACTGCAGATACTGGAATCCAAACAGGAGGGTGGAAGAACACAGCAGGCCAGGTAGCATCTGGAGGAAAGGAGAAGTGAATGTTTCGGTTATTACCCTACCTCAGGAGGACTCCAGTCCTGAAGGAGGGTAATACATGAAACAGTTATATATTAACCTCAGACATATAGAAACTACATACCCACAGACAACAAACTACTGTTGCAAAGTGTTTCAATCTTCCAGAGATTATGTTGAAATGCAAAAAAAAACTCACCCTCCAGGCTCCATTCTGTCCATTTCTGCTCAGCATTCTAGAAAATTCTACAGTCTTTGGAGAGGAAGCAGAGAATCAGATCATAAATCCCAGAGGACGGGAGGGATGAATCACAATTGGAAAAACTCAGGGCGGTGGGCATCAGGAGGACAGTGAAAGATCAGAGGTAAACAACCCAAAATAATCCAAGGGAAACAAATTATTTGCAGCTTCCATACCCTCAAAGCACCCTGTGGCCAATGGAATAGTTTTTGGATATGAAGGCTCTGTGCAATGTCTGAAACACACATGCACAGCAAGCTCCCACAAGTAGCAATGTGGTAACGGTTTCTTAATTGGTTTATGTTGGTTGAGGAGTTAATACTGGCCAAGAATCTAGTGTGAAGGAAGAGACAGAGACAGACAGAGAGCGACAGCTCCCTTCCTCTCCTTCAAGATGTAGAGGTGCCAGTGCTGGACTGGGGTGGACAAGGTCAGGAATCACATGACACCAGGTTATAGTTCAACTGGATTTTTTGAAAACACAAGCTTTCCGAGCATAGCCCTTTCATCAGGGGAAATGAGAAGAAAGCACAAAGATCACAGAACTTTTAAGTAAGAGATCATCAGTTGTGTGACTCTTTGATCTTTTACTTATAAATTCTGTGTTCTGTGTGCTTCTTTCTCACTGCACCTGATGAAGGGGCTACGCTCCGAAAGCTTGTTTTTCAAACAAACCTGTTGGACAATAACCTAGCGTCGCGTGACTTCTGGCCTCTCTTTCAAAATAGTGCCCTGCTTTCTTTTACACCCACTTTAAGGGGAGGCAAAGGCCTAGTGGTATTTTCACTGGTGTGTAATCCAGAGAGCAGGTGACCCAGGTTCAAATCCCACCATAGCAGATGGTGGTACGTGAATTTAGTCAAAAAAAATCTGTAATTATGTATCTAATGATAACCATGAATCCATTGTCGATTGTTGGCAAAACCCATCTGGCCCCTTTAGGGAAGGAAACTGTCTTCCTTACCTGGTCAGGCCTACATGTGACTCCAGACCCACTGCTAACTGCCCTCTGAGCATTTAGGGATGGGCACTAAATGCCAGCCTAGCCAGCAACGCCCTTATCCTATGAATAAATAAAAAAAACTGGAGGGGCAGTAAAGGCCTCACCTTTACAACTCATCCAAAAAGATGGCTCCTCGGACAATGCATCATTCCCTCAGGAGTGGGACACAATTCCCCAATTTACTGAATCCCCATATCTGCAGCACTACCCATTGACACCTGGCAAATGGCTTGGTCCCCATCACCATCGAGTCACCCCTCCCCATGGATGCCAAGGTGAAAATGGAACAACATGAGAAAAAGACAGACTTTGTAAAAGCACCAAAATTAGGGATGCACACCTCTCATTCCAAAGTTTATTCATTTTTTTGCAGAGTACAAAAGAAACTGGTACAGTTCTCACGGTTTGTATTAGATCAGGCGTAACATTGTCTAAAAGACCAAATAAACACAAAATACTATTTGTACTGAAATATTATTTTTAAAAAATCTAATATTTCCCATCGTTTACAGTGCATTCGTTTTCAACAAAAAGAAACCAAATTCTTCATATTTACACAAAACTGAATTCATTTTTGTCAAAAAACAAAACTGAGAAATGGCATTCGGCTCTCAACTTTCACTTGGGTTGGCAACTGGGATCTTTCCTCAGAGGCTCGAGGGTAACTGTCGTGTGGAAGAACTGTTACCCTTGGCCAAATAATTGGAGCGTTGCCATTTATTGTCCAAAAGTACTCACCTTAAAAATAAAAGGGGGTTTACACTGCATCATCCCACGAAAGCTGGGATTGACAACAAATAATTAATCACCAAAGGAAGTCTCGTGTCTGCACAAAACCTTAGTTGGAGCAGGAAGACAATGAGAGTTTCGACAGTCTGTGATATCGCCTTGTTGTTGAGATTGCTCAGTGGAGAAATCCTTGTGTAAAGCCCTCATGGCTCCCAGACTTGGAAGCCTGGATGATGACTGTTTGCTGTTCTCACTTCCCCTGACCTCTGCTGGCTCCATCTCCCAAAGCTTTGATTTCCATCAGCTCCCTCGAGCCACAAACCCCCACTGCGTCTGGTCTGTGAGATGCATTACCCCTGATTCCGCTGTGTCCCTGACTCCTCGTTTGTCTTCCTGACCCAGAATCCTGACCCTTGCTGGTTTAACCAGTTGGTCCCCAACACCTACTGCTCTCTGCCTCCTCTGCTGCACCTAAAGGCCCGATTCCTGCTGGTCTTGTGAACTTTAAATCCCGGAGACCAAAAGCTGTGTCAAAACGACAGTAGAGTATCATACTCAGTAGCAAGCTTCTTAGTCTTTTATCTGAGCTGTGCTAAGAAGCTGTAGACTGCGGAATACCAACTCAATATCCTCATCCTGAATTCCAACTGAGATTTTGTGCAAAAGGTAAAAATAAAACATCAAACACGGACTCCCATGAAAACCGAGTGTTTGGTTAAACTGAAGAATCATGCGGTGGACAGCAAGGGAGCTTGGATCATCAAAATTTTCATGTTTGAACTAAAAGAGAAAAAAAAACATGGGTCTGTTTCTGTGCTGTAAATCTCTATGACTCTATAACATAAATAAATAGGCTCACCATGTACAAGAGCAATCTCCAACATGGTGGAGGAGTAGCAGGGGACAAAGTGTGGGATTCCGGGAATGAACATTGCTCGAAACACTTAAAGGAAAAGGACATTTAACTTTCAGAATACACCCTGCTATCCACTTCTTCAGTGACAGGCCACACAGGTACAGACAATGTACACACAATGTACACAGACTGATCAAGTAAGTTAAAGTTCGATTATTAAGACATTAAATTCTCTTTTCATCTCTCCATTTTTTTTTAATAAACACATCACATTTTTTTTTGTGCATAGGGATTCCACATGCTTTTCATTCCATGCGGTTCGTAGAGTTAGAGGGATTAGTCTTCTATTTCTTTTAACAACAGAATTGGACAAAATATGCATATATAACTATACAATATTTTAAACACTTGCAAATGCAGCTACATGCAACACAATATAGGCATCTTCCCCCATCCAACATACGGACACACACTGTGTCTGTGTGTGCATACACACTCACACTCACACACACTCACACACACACACACTCACACACACACACTCACACACACACACACATTTTTTACATACAATTTACATTACAGCAAGAACAGAGGAAGGTGGTAACATAACCCCTTGGTGAGAGAAGGCAAGTTAAAATTTCCAGTGGAGGGAATTACTTTTGAGAAGAATGACCCTGCTCAGAATAGACAATAAACCGGAGTTGCAGTGTGAATAATAAAAAAAAAGCTCATTTGAATCGACTGATTGTCCACCTGGCACCTTTTGTCCCAACATGTTTCATTAAGATGCGTTTCAACTCACAAAAAATATTAAAATTCATTCCAACGGCCAGTGCCGCTGAGAGATTGCAGCATGTCCATCCACCCTGCCAAACCAACGTTATCAAAACCAAAACAAACATTTTGTGCCACTGACTGACAACGTTGTCTCAGAAAAACCAAAGGGGGCGCAAAAAAAAATTGAAAAAGGTATTACGTGCAGAAGAAAAGAGGAGAAACAAAGGGAAAGAACGAAAGGCAGTCAAAACGTGCGAACGTGAGTCGCAAAGCGGCATCCCGTTTCACTTCCTGGGATAGGGTTGGCATTCTGCGGAGGGCATGGGGCCAACTCGCAAGGAGCAAGCGGTGTCCGGGTGGGATCATTGCCACGGAGACCAGGTGCAAAAAAAATCACAAGGAAGGGGCTTGGGGTGGGGGAGCGGGGTGGGGGGAACAGGGTGAGCAAGGGCCATTTAAGAGCCCACCAACTGGTGCCAGCACCCCAAGGAGAGATGGCACGGCTCCCAATGGGGGTGCACGGAACTTAGAGCCTATGGCACCTTGAACATGATTATCATGCTTTTCATTACAGGTCATGACAGGGGAAAACCAAAAACAAATGGCAACATCCTCATTATATTCATTTTATATATATGTACATATATATGTGTGTGCATATACATATGTGTGTATATATAAAATTACCATATAAAAACTGGTGGATCCCAATATCTTGGCATTCCTGGCAATAGATACAAGTTCCAATCATGCCAGCCAACAAGCTGCCTGTTAGCGCTGATATACATATATATCTATATTATATACACTTATACATATATATTATATATGCAGCATTTGTCCTTCTATCTAGCTGACCCAGATTGTATTGCACAAGACTTGGTCTAATGGACAAGATTGTCTTCTTGCTTTCGTTCCTGCGTGTTCTCTCAATTTCCCCTCCATCCCGATGTCCCACTCAGTCGGGCTCCCGCTTTATGGCCGCCACTTTCTCCAGGATGCCGCGGGCATTTTCGTTCAGATCCGGTGGCACACCAGGGGCCAGGCCCTGGAGACCAGCCAGCGAGTCCTCACCGGGCTCTGCTTTGACCGTCCGGCGACTGGGTAACACCCCGACACCGCCACCGAGCTGCTCGGCCCTCTGCCGTGGCGGAGGCTTCCTTCGCCTGTCGGCCTCGGCAGCGCCTCCTTCCCCTGCTCTGGCCCGGGAGGGCACCAGGCCTAGGCCGCCCCTCTGCAGCATGTAATACAGGATGGGGTTAGTCTTGGTCAGCCACGGTGGCTCAGTGGGCATTCCGAGGGAAGGGGCCTGGTGCTCCGGCTCAGATTGTGCTGGGACGGTGGCAGAGGCAGGGTTTTCCGCCGCGTAGTGTGCAGACGAGCCGGCAGCGGGTAAGATCCCGAGGTACCTGGCAGGCTCGAAGGCCGACACAGTCTCGTTCTGGTTGCCATTGAGCTGCTCGGATGGGCTGTAAAAGCGAGTGGGGCGGTCTCCTTCCAGCCTTCGGTCAGGCCGGGACCCTCTGTCGCTGGCAGAGCTACCATTGTGAAGAGTCCTGTGTCCGGGCAGCACTTTGATGCCATTCTCGGAGAGGAGGAGCTGTTTCAGGACATTGAAGCCTTGGGGATCCTTCACGTTACTTCGAGACTCAAACTCCAAACCATTGCCAGGTTGGAAATCCAGCAGCCTGGTGCCACAGGCCGGAGAGCTGCTCAGGCCATTGGCTGCCTCTCGGGATGGGAGGTCATGGCTGTTCAGCCCCTCGCTCTGGTCTACCATCTTGTGTAGGTCATCCAGTTCACTGGGCGGTGTGGGTGGAGGCTTCCTCTTCTTGGGAATGTTGCATGGGCTACTGGAGCCAGAGGTTGGTGTTGGGGCCTCAGCGAGATTGCCAGCGGCTGGGTGCTGACTGAAGGCGTAGCTGCCCAGGGTGGCAGTGTTGTCCCGCTGCAGAAGTTGGCTCAGGACACCCCCTTTCTGACAGGGGTGGCACTGAGCTCGCGATGAGGGCACAGCAGGGCTAGCCACTTCTTGCTTCACGCTGCCCAATGTGAAAGATGGGTGCTTCTGCTCGGTCTTGCTTGGCACCAGAGGCTGGCAATTGGCACTTTGATCCATTGGTTCGGCAGTGGAGGGGAAGCCACCCTCTTCTTCAATGGGCTCGGTCTTTACCTTGACCATGGATATCGGCTCTGTATCGGCAGCTTGCCCGTTGCACTGGGTCCCTGGTGGCTGGGGGCCTGCCAAGGTCTGGTGGTCCCCTGGTCTCCCATGCAGAGTGGCCGTTGGGACCTTGTCCTTCTTGGGGGTCTTCAGCAACAGCTGAAGGACACTGCGTCTTTCGAGAAGGCTTTCGAGATCGGAACTGGGCACTGGGCCAGGCTGGAGCGGTCGCCTATCTCTCCTGGCACGGGGCTCCAGCAGCACCGACTGCTTGGCTGACCGACTGAACGTGAGGCTCTCAGCGCTCTCGCCCATCCTGGTCTCCACCGAGGAGAGGACAACATTCTTGTCCTCCGCGTCTGCTTGGGAGGTTTCCGGTGACTTGTGGAAGCCGGTGTGTGCCAGGTCTTGCAATAGCTTGCTTGCGCTGAAGGAGAAATTGGAAAGCCGGCTCTCACTGGTAAGTGGCTGGCGCGAGACGTACTGGCTATTTGTTGCCAACTCCGTGGAGGCGAAGTGTTTGGGAAACTGGTGAGCTTTGGCCAACTCGGAGGGGAGCAATGGTTCCAGGGCGCGGTGCCCCTTGGCAGCTTCCAGCTGCTGTGGGAAGTGTTGGAGGGTCTTCGAGGGCTCGCTGCTGCTAGCCAGCTTCCCTCGCCGGGCCAGGAGATGGTGGGTGCCATCACTGGCATGGCACAGGGGCGGGAGTCGGTGAGCAGCCGGAGCTGGTGGGCTGCGGGTCACCTTCACTACGGCACTTTGCTCTGCCGCTTGGAAAGATGAAGACAACGAGGAGGACGAGGAAGATGAAGAGGAGGAGGCGGAGGAGGAAGGAGGGAAGTGTTCCGGGCCCCTGGGCCTCTGGCTGAGAGCGATACCAGCGACTGAAGCCTCAGGTGTTGTAACAATGCTACTGGGACGTTCAGTCTTGAGCTCTGGGGCTTGTGGTTCGGGAGTGCAGTTCCCTCTCGCTCCGTTCTGGTGACCCAGAAGCAGTTGGAGGAGAGTGACCTTCTGGTGGCTCTTGGACTCGGGCCCATTGCGGTCCTCCTTGGCTTCGGGGCTCTGGACCCTCGGGCCTTTGGGGTTCCAGCTGAAGAGAAGGGACTCGGTCATTTGCTCCAAGCTGCGCGAATGGAGGGAAATGGGCTCACACATCCTGGGCTTGGTGGACAGATCCATGGGCGTACAACTGGAGCGGGAGCTCTCGTCGCTGCTGTAAGTCTCCTCCAGGGAGCCGGCCTCCTGCTTCACCGGTTTCTCCCAGGCCGGCAGACGGTAATCGAAGGCGGGGCCGCCCCTCCTCTCGGCTCCCAGCCAACGGTGGCCGTTGGTGGTCTCGGTACTGGCGTCGGCTGAAGACTTGGGGATGCTGTTGGTGTTGAGGAGGTGCATGAGCAGGCTGCTGCTGTTATTGGGGCCCAGGGGCGACCTGTCCCGCTCCCCGACACTCTTCTCCCGGGTACCGGATGGGCTCCTGGTGTGACCCGCCAACCTCAGCGATTGCTCAGGGACCCCCGGATTGCCCCGAGACGCACCGCGGCGATGCCCATCCTTAGAGCAGTGATCCCGAGCCGGGTCGCGGGGTGACGAGGGCTCGGCCACTTTCTGGTTGGCGATGGCTGCCAGCCTCTGGCTGGCGGAGGGGTGAGGGGCACGGGCACCCAGCGAGTGCTCCCGGGTATACTGCTGCAGCTGAGTGTCGCTCGACAGCAGCAAGGCCAGTTGACTGCAAGCCACGCTGGGCTTGGGTGAACCATTAGACCGGGCACCGTTCTCCACCATGCTAGCCACCGCCCTCAGCCGGGCCGAGCAGGAGATGGGCTCAGCAGCCCCTTGATGATCCGCCGGGGAGCTGGGAAACCTCGGACGCTCGGCAGGGCTCTGGTATAGTCCATCCGGCTCCTTGGGGAGGTGCTCGCTCTGGCTCGGCTCCCTGTTCTTCAGTAGGGCCCGCAGGTGGTTGGACACCAGGCCGTAGCTCCTCAGGTCATCCTCGGGCGGGCTGCCCAGGCTCGGTGCCTGGCTCAGCCTGGGGGCACCTGCTTGCTGGGACAACGCCACGTTTTGCAAACGGGAGCTGAAAGACTGCAGCAAAGAGGCCAGCAATGTGCTGTGTTGCTGCTGCTGGGCTTTTCCCAGTTCGCCCTGTTTGGCAGTGCCCTCCTGATCATTCGACTGGAGCCCATGGCCGCATACTCTTCTCCGCTTGGCACCGTCGCAGGCCTCAGCTTGCAGTAACCTGGCCTTCTTCACGTTCAGCGTGGAAGCAGCTTTCGAAGCCCTCTGCTGGGACGGAGAGACAACAAAACCTTCAGCACCTCCTCCCCCCCCTCCGCTGCAGTGAATGTCGGAGCTTTTGCAGGCAGCACCTTCCTTCTCGGAGGTGCCCTTGGTGGATGGGGTGCCCATACTGCCCCCGGATGCTTGATGCATTAAGACACTCTCGAGGTACGTTAACACAACTGAATCCTGGTGCATCTCAGAGCAAAGCTCCTCTCCATGGGTCATGTTCAAACAAAACCAGGAAACACGAAAAAAAAGGAAGATGCAAAACAAAAAGAATCTTGCTCCTGGATTATCAGTCCATTTATTCACATGCTGGATTAGATTGGGTATCCATTTCGGCTAATGATGCACGAGAAGGTGTTGAGGAGGTTGGAATCTGGGAAGGCCATTCCTAGGATTGATGGTAGGGGAAGGTCCAGCCTACAGCTCAGCGAAGAACGAGGTCTTTCAGTTTGACCATGAAATAATTGGAGGTTGCAGTAAATCCCATTTCTCAAAGCCCCAGATGTCCTGAGCATAAACAAGCCGAGTGCCAACACCAGGATAGGAACAGAATTCCCATTTGTAGCCCTCTCTGGAATATCCGGAAATCCCCAGTGGATCAAGCCTCTGACGCTTTCCTCGTTAACTCCATGGAATGGAAAAACAGCACCTGTAAACCAAAAAGAAAACAAAAGTCAGAAACTGCCAACATAAGACAATGAAATTAGATTCTGCCCATCAGCTTCAGAATTCCATTGAGACGACGAATGAAGCATTTAATGCTTTTTAATTCCATTGGCAACATCAAACACTCCAAGGACGGGGGCAGCACAGGGTTAGATACAGAGTAAAGCTCTCTCTACACTGTCCTCATCAAACACTCCCAGGACAGGGACAGCACAGGGTTAGGTATGGAGTAAAGCTCTCTCTACACTGTCCCCATCAAACACTCCCAGGACAGGGACAGCACAGGGTCAGATACAGAGTAAAGCTCTCTCTACACTGTCCCCATCAAACATTCCCAGGACAGGGACAGCACAGGGTTAAATACAGAGTAAAGCTCTCTCTACACTGTCCTCATCAAACACTCCCAGGAAAGGGACAGCACAGGTTTAGGTACAGAGTAAAGCTCCATCTACACTGTGCCCCATCAAACACTCCCAGGAAAGGGACAGCACAGGGGTTAGATACAGAATAAAGCTCCCTCCACTCTTTTTAAAACAGTAAGTCCAAAGTAATGATGAAGCCCCTGTGAGGCACTGTATCGAATTAAAACACAAATTAACAGTTGAATTGGAACCTTATACAATGAAACAAAAACTTCTTAAACTGGAATAACATTGTCCGGGGTGATTGATTGGTTGATTTATTGTTGTCAATCAATGTAGCGAGATACAGTGTAAAGTGCTGTTTTGCATGCTATAAAGGTAGATCATACCATACAAAGTGCACCAGGGTATCTGATAGAGTAAAGCTGCCTCCATACTGTCCCCATCAAATACTCCCAGGACAGGGACAGCACGCAGAAACATACAGATTAAAGCTTCCTCTACTCTCTTAAAGTGAAAGTAAAGCTCTGTTGACACTGTCCCCATCAAATACTTCTAGGGCAAATACAGCATGGGATCAGACACAGAACAAACTTCCTCTGTGCTCTCCCCATCCCAAGATTGGTACAGACAGGGTTAGATACAGAGTAAAGGTCCCTGTACCTGTTTTAAACTGAAAGTAAAGCCACTTGACACTGTCTCCATCAAAAATTCCTGGGACAGGTACAGTACAGGGTTAAATATACAGTAAAGTGCCCTCTACACTGTTCCTCTCAAACACCGCTAGGATATTTGGAACTTAGAGTAATTGTTGCTTTTGCCCGCTTTAAATATTAGTGTTAAGCTCCAAGCTCTAAACGCTAATTTGTTAGGTCATGATTGTGATAATTCATACATCTGTTACACTCACACTCCTGTAGCCTCCCTCAGTGCCAATGCAGTTGGATGGCTGTTATGTGTTGTACCATCGTCAGCATGTATAGTCTACAGAGGAAGAGGACTTCTGCCATTAGTCTGGTGCATATAATCCATACTCCAGATGTGCCAGTTCAAAGACCAGCGGGCATAAGTTTAACGCAGTTTAACGAAGATCTGAGGAAAAATCTTTTCACCCAGAGGGTGGTAGAAATATGGAACCTGGTGGAGGCAGGTACTCTTGCTACATTTAAGAAGCATCTGGACAAGCACTTAAAATGCCAGGACATAGCAGGTTCTGCACCTGATGCAGATTAATGGGATTAGTTTAGTTTGCTAATTGTTGGTCGGCATAGACATGGTGGGCCAAAGGGCCTGTTTCTTTGTTGCATTACTCTATATTTCATTGTGCACGTCACTACAAGGCTAAATGCAGCCTGGTAGGGAAAATTCTGGAACTTTAATTGCCGGGGTCAAAAGAACACGACACGACATTATAGTCCAACAGGTTCATTTGAAATCACAAGCTTTCGAAGCGCTGTCCCTTCGTCAGGTGAAGTGTCAGACCATTGGCCTGTTTATGAATATCATGTAATGGTGATCAATCAGGTCAACCCCCAAGGACAGTACAGGCAAGATTTTTGGATGGTTTAAAATCCCAGACCATATAAAGCCTCACAACCTATTGGTGTCAAAACTATTTTTTGTGGCAAACTCTTAGCAAATGCACAATGATTGGTACACTCACCCAATCAACACTCTCAATGCCCTGGGCATTATCACTGACTAGAAACTGAAATGTACCAGGTATACCCTTACGAAGACTACAAGGGCAGGTCAGAGACTGAGATTTCTGAGGTGATTAACTCACCTCCTATTACATCCAGGTCAGGATCTGATGGAACCCTTGCCACTTGCCTGGATGAGTGCAACTCCAACAACACTCAAGAATCTTAACAGAGGACGAAACAGCCTTTGTGGCCCTGATCAACCACATTCTCTATTCACTTCCTTCATTACTGACACATAGTGACAGCAACGTTTACCATCCACATGGATGCACTGCTGCACTTGACAAAGCTCCTTCGACAGCAGTATAGAAACAGTCATGCAGCACTACAACAGACTCTTCGGCCCACCATGTCTATGCCAGGCACAAACACCAAATTGCACTAATCCCAGTTACCTGCACTTGGTCCACAGCCTACTACGCCCTGGCATTTTAACTGCCCATCCAGATGCTACTTAAACGCTGTCAGAGAACCTACCTCCACCACCCTCTTAGGCAGCACATTCCAGCTTTCAACCATCCTCTGGATGTAAAGACTTTTCTTCAGATCCCCTTGAAACCACTTCCTCTTCACCTTAAGCTTACTCTTTCCAGGATTAGACACTTGGAAAACTCATGGTCTCTATCATCCAAAAAGGACAAGGCAGCAGATACCTGCAGGTAACACCACCTGCAAATTCCACTCACCATCCTGACTTGGAAATATATCACCGCTCCTTCACTGTCACTGGGTCAAAATCCTGGAACTCCCTCCCTAAACATCACTGTGGGTCTACCTGCACCCAAAGACTGCAGCAGCTCAAGACAGAAGCTCATCACCACCTTCTCAAGAGAAATTAGGGACGGTGGATCAGCTGGTCTAGCGAGAAATGTCCGCAAATGAATACAGAGAAATATCCTGCATCTTTCCACTGATCCATCCCCAATTTCGATATTCCACCAGTGACAGCTCCTCAGGATTCCTCGTTGACACATCATATTTCTCTAACACAGCCTCAGGGATCCACAAATGACTCAGGCTATTCCTAACGCACTTCCATGGATCTCACATTGACAGATTCTCCAACTGACTCCTCCTCATTCACTCACTCTCAACTGAAACTGGACCTGGCACCAATCAACAACAGATCGAGAGGTCAGCAGGCAAAATGGTGGACAGGTTGTTTCCCAGCAGAAGCAGAGGGAACTGTGCTTGTTCACTACAGAGAGCAATTTGCAACATATCGCAACAAGAGAAGTAGGGTCATAAATCAACACAACAGCAATGCTAGCATTCACAAAGAGGAGCCATAAGATAGGAGGCTGTGTTGTCATGCCTCATCATCCTCTAGCAGAAAGGCCAGAACGCAGCATTAAATTCCCAACAAGCCTACCCCCTGAACACCTGCGAGACTCAATACGGAGAAACTGCTCTGGGTTTTGCCTCACATTATTGTAACCTGCCAGAGATCGAGATTCTCAATGTTCCTGTGCAGTGAGCTTTGTAAACCGAGATCCTCTTGAAGTTTCCAAACTCGCCTTCTAAGCCTTGCCTCAATCCCGCCTGCCTAACCATGCTGGCAAGCACAGGAAGGAAGTTCAAGTTAAAGCATAAACACATTCATCCTGATGACAGTGACTCACGGCCTGCTTATGGTTCTTGGCACTGCTGCTTTTGTCAAACGTGACCTCATTCAAGCCAGGGGCTTCCGCAATGTCTCGTCTGCCCCAATCTCTGCTCCCTGCCAAAGGTCACTTCTCCGGCAATGAACCAATCGATGTTGAGCACTTGATGGGAACACCCTAATTGTCGTTTTTAAATCCTGAAACTAAATGTCCCCATGTTGTGCAGCCAGCTCCCGCTGCCCACTCTCGTCTCGCTGTGTCTCACAGGGTTTCAGACATGACTCATTGTGGGGAGATGTCTCGTTTCTAAGTCAGGGAAGGTCATGGAGGGGTCAGAGTTCCACTCCAGACAGCAGATTATAAAATGCTAGGCTGACACAGCTAGTGGAGTGCTGAGGGAGTGCGACAAGTCCGGAGGCACTGCCTCTCAGGTCAGCTGTCAATGTGCCCTCTCACGTTTGAAAAAAACCATCTAGGAAATATCCTCAGCCATTGTTTACACCTCAACCAACAACAGTGATAAAAGAACCCAGTCATTAACATTTGTTGTGCGCGCACACACACACAGACACACACGCGCGTACACACACACACACGTGCACACACGCACACACACACACTCGCACACACACGCACATACACAGTCACACACACACAGACACAGACACACACGCACATGCGTGTACACACACACACACATGCACTCACGCACACGCACACACACTCATGCACACACACACACATACACAGACACACACACACACAGACACACACGCACATGCACGTACACACGCACAGACACACGCACATGCACTCACGCACACGCACACACTCACGATCCCACACGCACATACACAGACACACACACACACACAGACACACATGCACACACACTCACGCACACACACGCACATACATACGCACACGTACACACACACTCACTCACTACAGCACAACAGTAACTCTTCTTTTATTCATGGGTTGAGGGCATCTCCAGCCAAGCTAGCATTTATTGCCCATCTCTAATTGCCCAGAGGGCAGTTGAGAGTCAACCACAATGCTGTAAGTCTGGAGTCACATGTAGGCCAGACCATGTAAGGATGGCAGATCTCCTTCCCTAAAGGACAACAGTGAACCAGATGGGTTTCACAACAATTGACAATGGTGATTTTTAGACTCTAAATTCCAAATTCTTTTATTGAATTCAAATTCCACCCAGGATTCAATCCCAGGCACCCCCCAAACCATCCCACCCCGCCCCAAGAACATTACCGGGGTCTCTGGATTAATAATCTAGTGACCTACAACCAT